CTTTACAGTTGAACCACTGATGTCACACGGACTACTTTGTCGATCATCTTAGTACTTTTCTGGACCTTGAACGTGGTAGTTACCTTGCTGTCTATGGGAAGGTCAGAGAGCCCTCATATTTCATCAAAAATATCTTAAATTGTGTTCCGAAGATGAGCGAAGGTCTTACAACAAGAGGGTGAGTAATTAATGACAGAATTTTCATTTTTGGGTGAACTAACCCTTTAATACAAGGATGCAAATGCATACAACCCTTACTGCGAGAATTATGCAGTGAGAATTATACACTGCCATCTAGTGGTCATGTGTCATCTTCCAACTGTGGTATATAAACGTACATTTCAATGATTTGACTTTGAACAGATTTTATATGACAGTTTTCTTGTGATAGTCTCTGTAGAGCTTAAATGACACTGTCACATTTTATGATGCATTTATCATATTTAACAAAAAAGATGTATTAATGTTTCTGTTTCTAATGGCATGAAGTAGCTATTCAAATATCAATTTCACGTGTCAGGTATCAGCCGGATGCTGTGTTTGAGAGGTCTAGGATCAATGAAGGCAAGGAAGAGGTTGGTGAGTCTGAACTGACGGAGTCCGAGTCTCACCTGAACATGCTGAAGGATGGAAGAGTAACCCTGCGCTCTCTGCTCAACCCACCACTGCTGCCCACTGAACAGACCTCCACTGCCGTCAACATGTCTGTTATAATCATGGGTTAGTACAGCAGCAGATAGAGACTGATTTGACTTTAAGTTAGCTGATGACAATTAGGTAGATCTCTGATCTGTGTTTGTTTTTCCCTGCAGTGTTTGTTGTGTGTGTTATTAGCACACTCAACACATACTACGTACAGGCCATTATTGCTATGGAGCCTTGGGCCCTGGGGGTCTTAGGTGCATCTTTGTTCATCTTCATTATGTGCATCCTTCTGGTTTGCAGACAACCTCAGACGAGGAAGAAAGTTTCCTTCATGGTAGGTTTGAAATCTAACATACTTAACATACTTGTACACTATAAAAGTTTAGGGTCGCAAGCGGTCTCTTATACAATAAAAACAGTAAAATTGTGAAATATTATTACAATTTAAAATAACTGTTTTCTATTTGAATATATTTTAAAATGTAATTTATTCCTGCGAAGGCAAAGCTGAATTTTCAGCATCACAAGTATCAGAAGATCTTTCAGAAATCATTCTAATATGCCGATTTGCTGCTCAAGAAACAATTCTTCTTATTATCAATTTTGAAAACAGTTGTGCTGCTTAAAGTTTTTTTAAAACTGCAATGTATTTTGTTCAAGAATCCTGGATGAATAGAAAGTTCAAAAGCATTGATTTGAAATAGAAATATTTTGTAATATAATAAACGTCATAATAATAAATTCACATAATGAATTTCTTTAAAAAAATCTGACGGAGACCAAATATTTAAACTTTATAACAATTAACACATAACAAAAATATAATATAATATAATATTTAACAAAAATATTTTTGTGTGTGTGTAAATATACATGCCGTTCACACTCTTAAAGAGATAGTTCACCCAAAAATGATCACCAAGCCTATTTTTTCTTCTTCTGTGGAACACAAAAAGAGGATACTGCTCTTTTCCATACAATATAAGTGAACGGTGTCCACTATGACTTCACAAGGTACACAGGTTGTGAGGACTGCTGCTATAATCCTTTCACTTTTATTGTATTGAAAAGAGCAGCAACAATCTGCCTAAAATCTAAAATGAAACGATGTGAAGGTGAGTAAATAATGACAGAACTTTCATTTTGGGATGTACTTTCCTTTTAATAAACGTGCACCATGTTAAACCGTCGCTGCTCTGTTCATCTTGTTGTGTATTCTGCCCAGAAGAGCACTGGGTTTTAGGGTAATAGCCTGTATAAAATATGTTTGCCAAGCACTCTGTGTTCTTTGGAGGGCCGTATTGTGTGCTATCCTTGCTATCTAACATGAAAAACAATGTGATATGACCCGAGAGAGTCTCCATTCATCGTGTTTTTTTCTGTTTTAGTCTGGATCATTTCATTAGCGAGTGCTGAGCAGAGTGCAGTCAAGCACATGTTTGAAGCAGTGTGTATTTTTTGCTTCAGGTTCCTCTGTTGCCCTTTCTACCCATCTTGAGTATATTTGTCAACGTGTATCTCATGGTTCAGCTCAGCGGAGACACGTGGATCCGTTTCTCCATCTGGATGGCTATAGGTACGTGCTAACTGAGTAAACACACACAGGATGCAATCCTAAACCAAATTCAAACAAATCTAAAGGTCTCATTGCCGTTTCAAGGCTGTTTGCTTGAAAAACAGGCATAATCGGAAATAAACCTAAGAAAACCCTGCAGAAAAGACCAGCTTAGATGAGCATGAACTTCCATGGTGGTCCAGGCTGGTTTTCACTGGTTAGGTTTACGTTGGTGGAAAATTGGAAAGGATAGTTTATCCAGTGATGAAAATTCTGTCATTGTTTACTTACCCTAATTTTTGATCTAAACCCAAAAGCTTGTTTTTTTTCTTCTTCAAGTATTTAACCAATGAGGTTTGTTCTAGCATGCGACTCACACGCGAGACATGTACCCGTGTTTACCAAAAATTATTAGTCTAAATTAAATCTGTTCATCATATAAAGCAATTATATCCTTAACAAGACTGGGATTAGATTTATGATGCCTTTATAACTTTATTATTATTTTATTAATTTATATATATATATATATATATATATATATATATATTCATAAAATAATAAAGGTAATATATTAATACGAATATATTACTTAAATATTATATATTATATTAAAGTAATATATTAATATATTACATTTATATTGGGTAAACTGTCCTTTGATGATCTTTTTCTTTTTTTTTGGGATGAACTGCCTTTAAGCATCCTAATGGATCCAAACGCAATGGAATACAAATTTGACAGAAATCTTATCAATCCACAGGATTCTTCATCTATTTTGGATATGGAATGTGGCATAGTGATGAACGTAAGAGGCATCTACAGAACTGTGGTGTTGCGACGGAGAAAAAGACACTGACAGGAAATGAAGGCACTGTGGAATATGTGACGCACATAGAGAAGACTAGCCCATGTTAAAGAACAGCAGATAAAACTATAATAGTAACTAGCTGTTATCCACGGCATTCACCAACCAGCTGATAGATCTGAAATCTGTGTATTCAGCTCTGCCTTTACAGTCACTGCCAACATGAACAATCACTGTAACACCTCTCAGTGCTGATGCTCTCATCTGTGATGTGATAGTAGGACGTTAGGGGTGTGCGATCTGGCAATGAAAATTCAATGCATTGATTATGGAATTGATTCCGTACCCAATATAAACTGATATTTGTGACTTTGGATATAAAACATACATAATTATGAATAGTAGCAAAATAACTGAACATGAATAGTGACCAAATCTCTTTCTTTTTTTTTTTTTTCAATTTTCAATTGTATGAATTTTCATTAATAAATAATTAGAATAGCATTGAATTGTTGTCAGAGCAAGTATTTTCACCCCTGTAAGACATACCTCTGTGTTTTAAGCAATTTCTTTTTAAATGTGTTTTGAAGAAAAAGGGATAGCATGTTTTTTTTTTTTTTTGCATGAAAGTATTAAGATTTCCACAGACAGTATCTTAAGATTACTTCCACTGTTAGTTTGTTAAATAAAAAAATACATGCCAGCTTCACGGCATGTCTACATGCTTGACTTATCTTGTTAAAGTGTTTAATTCTAGAATTTAGAATTAATTATTTTAACTTACTGTATGTGCCTGAGATGTTAAGCTGTTTGGATAACACTATTTCATGTTTTCTTGCATTCTGATAAACACTACTTTTTATCTTAATCTATGTTACATGTGTTGTGTAATTATCGCTGAATGTTTGACAGGGATATCTTACAATGTACAGTATTCATCTGTTGTTTAACAACCAGAAGGTCTGATGATGTTGAAGAGGAAGTTTTGTCTTGTAAAATGACCTTTTTTCACTTTATTTACTTTCTACATTTTTTACTCTACAATTAAGTAATCTGACATTTTCAGAAATGTTATGATGAATAATCAACAATCTACACTACATAGTTCACTGCGGTCATTCAATACATGACAATATGTTTAATCCAGCTAACAAAGTGATGCAAGCAGTGGTCTAAAAAATGGACAACCTGAGCATCTGGAAAGTGTTTCTTCTGCTATCCTGCGCTCAAGTCTTTCTCCGCCATAAATACTAAATTTTGAGTTGTAGATTGCGGTGTTAATGAGTCATTGAGAGGCAAAGATTGTGGAACAACCATTGTTGTGTAATCAAACATTAATAACAATGTGTTAATGTCTCATTAAGTAATGCACATCAACTTTAATTTAAAGCCTTTGTATCATTGTATCTTATCATTATAATTCGTTTTTTAATAATGTACGTAATGTGTGGATTATGCCATGGTCAAAACATTGCAAAGTGGTTTCATACAAAACAATAAAATATTTCTTCCTTTTCAACAAAGTTTTCCCACATTATTTTAAATAGGCATTAAATCATTTTATTTAAATTTTAATGGATATTTTTTCTTGGTTGGTAGGTCTGTTGTGCTGTTCAGTAGTTTAGTTTTCATCTCATCTCATAGAACATACTATTTCATATGAGTTCAAGTAATGTTAAATTCCTATCAAAACAAAAGTAGATGATATTTGATTTCAAATGACTGCAAAACTGCATAACTCAACTGCCAATGGAAACAGATTTCAGCATTACGCTTCAGTAAACAAAACACTGAACTGCCCATTTAATAATAATAATATAATTAATAAAAGTATCGATAAGGTGACCTCTATTTGTGAGGCATGGGTATAAAATGAATGATATAAGTTAGACAAACCTATCTCACAATATTTCATACTGAATATTGTATGAATATTCTATTCTTTATCAAATAGTTAACCCAAAAATGAAAATCTGCTGTTAATTTACTCACCCCAGGGCCATCCAAGATGTAGGTGACTTTCTTTATTCAGTAGAATGGTAAAGAAGAGCTGAACAATGGCACTTGGTGATTCATAATATGCAAGTCAACGGGCACCGTCACTTTGAGAGTCAAAAAAAGCAGATATAAAAACACAAAATGAATCTATGCGGCTCCTGACAATATATTGATGTCTTATGAAAGCGAAACGACCGGTCTGTGTAAGAAACTAAACATTATTTACGACATTATTACCTGTAATCCAAAGCCTCAGACAAAGGCCCTGTTTCAAATGGCACCCTGAACCCTCGTGATCTGCACTTTCGTGACGTAATGCCGCAAAATGTTCTGTGCACTCTGCTCATGACGCACGCAAGGCCGTGAATTCACGCAGTAAAGAGGCAGCTAGGTTTAGCAAAATATTTTTGTATTTTTATTTTCAACATATTGTATTGTGTTGTTCACCACTGGTACTTACTTTTTTATCCTGGATGAAAAAAAAAAATCGTAAAAATGGGGCACAACGTATAGGATAAAGACATTTTCCGTATTTATATATATTTTTTTACAGGTGTTTTACTTGTATTTTGAATTTTGCACTTCATTGCGTTGTTTTAGGGCTAACGGAAATGTCCGTAAAATTACTGGATAATGTCTGTCCCCTCCCCTCCGTGTGTGTAGTGAAGATTCTGTTGTGAACAATAACGGCGTAGTCAGTTCACGGCCCGGTGTGACCGTTTGTCTGAGATTATTATGGATTTGCGGAATTAATGCTGTAAGTAATGTTCAGTTTCTGTATATCATGAGCCGAGGGGATCCATTCGAGTTTTTGTTGTCTGCTTTTTTGACTCGTGACGGTGCCCGTTGATTTACATATTATGAATGACCAAGGACCATGGGTTCAGTCTTCTTTACTGTTCTAAAGAATGTCATATTCATCTTGGATTGGTCTGGGAGTGAGAAAATTAACAGCAATTTTTCATTTTTGGGTAAACTATTCTTATAAATTTGGGATTGGGATTATGAGGCCAATACCGCAACTAGCTGCAGTCCAGCAGAGGGCATTAGAGGATCACAGCCTGACACTGAAGGGGGAGTGTGCAGATGGGTTGGGGAAATTCCTCTTTTCTCACAGAGGATGGAGCAGACTGTGTAAACGGGACAGACAGTGGACGAAGAGCTCCTGTGCTGCACTCAGACCCCGTGTGCTCTGCTGGAACTCTCCACTTCAGCCATCATGAAGCTCTGGCTCTTCTTCACACTGGCACTGCTCTGGCTGGAGGTCCAAAATGGTGAGCAGAGCTTTCTTCTGCCTTGTTATTATTACTTCAAAACATGAAGAAAGTCAAAAATGGTCTTTCTATTGCCTGAAAAGGAAATAAATTGAATGTGTATGGTGTGCCAGTGGTGACTACGGTGCCAATGGAAACCAAATTCCAGAGTAGAAAGGGGAGGAGAGATCAAATCAGGGCAGAGTTTTACTTAAACTTATGATTAAATTGTACAGCAGAGACAAACGTTAGACAATCAAATATGTTTGCATCCTAACAAGGCAATTATTATAATTTTTTTTCCTGTGTTGTTTTTTTAATTCAAACATAAATCAAAAGGAATCAAAAGATCTGTATACAGTTTTCCTCTAGACCTCGTGATCCTTGCATGTGTCAAATGAATTTAAAAGGAATTTATGATTCAGTGAACCTCAGCATTGTTCAGTTTTGTACGCTTTTGCACAGAGAACAAGGAAGGCATACTTCCAGCATTGCTGTTTGTACAGCTGTTAGCTGAAGCATATAGAGCAGATTTCCAGATGGCAGAAACCTCTTACGCTTGCTCTCTCTCGCCTTCTTTTTTTTTTGGGCTTGGTCATAGGAGTTATCAAGTGTCACAAAGAAAGAAATTAAACACATATGCCGTATTATGTTTATGGCGTACTAGCAGTGAATAAATGACTGTTACTGCTCTTTAGAAGTTCCCCATGTAAAATTTGCCAGTCGCATCCAAATGCTGAAACAACACGCTGTTGACTAGGAAAACTGTGTTTTGGTGTACCCAGGTGTGTGTCAGCAGGTCAAGCGTAAGAAAGAGGCTGGTGAGAACCGCATTAGACCAGGAAGAAGGAGGGTGAAGGTTCGCTACCCCAAAGTAAAAGAAAAGGAGGCAGGAAGCAAGGGCCAGTCTATTCTCACCCAGGTCCTTGATAAAGGCCGTTTTCTCAGATTGGGCGAGAGCCTTTCTTTGAATCCTGGGAAAACACTGGAACTGAGATGCAAAGGGACTAATATAGGTTGGGCGTATCCCTCTTATCTGGACACCTTCAATGACAACCGCCTCAGGTATTCTTTCTCATTTTATCTATTCATTTAATATAGTAATCGTGTTTTTTTGGCACATTGATTACCAACTGTATAACACAGTTTTACTACAAATACCATGGTTAAACTATGGTTAGTGTAGCAAAACCATGGTTAACTTGTGGAAAAAAAAAAAAAAAAAAAAAAAAAAAAAAAAAGGTCTTTCTCTTGCTCGAAAAGAAAATCAATTGAGAGATGTTTCTGGATGAACGTGTATGGTGTGCCAGTGGTGCCAATGGAAACCAAATTTCCAGAGTAGAAAGGGGAGGAGAGATTAGATCAGGGCAGAGTTTTACTTAAACTTACGTTTCAATTATACAGCAGAGACAAAAGATAGAGAATCAAATATGTTTGCATCCTAACAAGGTAACTTTTTTTTTTTAAATGATTTTTTTCTTTTCATTCAAACATAAATCAGAATCAAAAGGAATCAGAAGATCTGTATACAATATTCTTCAAGACCTCATGATCCTTGCATGTGTCAAAAATGAATTTAAAAGGAATTTGTGATTCAATGAACTTCAGTATTGTTCAGTTTTGTACGCTTTTGCACAGAGAACAAGGAAGGCATACTTCCAGCATTGCTGTTTGTACAGCTGTTAGCTGAAGCATATAGAGCAGATTTCCAGATGGCAGAAACCTCTTACGCTTGCTCTCTCTCGCCTTCTTTTTTTTTTGGGCTTGGTCATAGGAGTTATCAAGTGTCACAAAGAAAGAAATTAAACACATATGCCGTATTATGTTTATGGCGTACTAGCAGTGAATAAATGACTGTTACTGCTCTTTAGAAGTTCCCCATGTAAAATTTGCCAGTCGCATCCAAATGCTGAAACAACACGCTGTTGACTAGGAAAACTGTGTTTTGGTGTACCCAGGTGTGTGTCAGCAGGTCAAGCGTAAGAAAGAGGCTGGTGAGAACCGCATTAGACCAGGAAGAAAGAGGGTGAAGGTTCGCTACCCCAAAGTTAAAGAGAAGGAGGCAGGAAGCAAGGGCCAGTCTATTCTCACCCAGGTCCTTGATAAAGGCCGTTTTCTCAGACTGGGTGAGAGCCTTTCCTTGAATCCTGGGAGAGCAATGGAATTGAGATGCAAAGGGACTAATATTGGCTGGGCATATCCCTTTTATCTGGACACCTTCAATGACAACCGCCTCAGGTATTCTTCTTTCTCACTTTATCTATGTTAGAATCATAAATCTAACACATTAATAGCTCCTGGAGTATTTTCAGTTTGGAATACTAGTGTTTCAAAGTTGTAGTAACATAATTACATTGCATGTGAATAAATACAAGTTTCAGTTACACTTTATTTTAAGCTGTCCTTGTTACAGTGTAAATATACATGTAAGTACTGAGTAATATTATCTAACTACATGTACTTACTATATGGTTAGGGTTAGGATAAGGGATTGGCTTAGGTTTAATTGCATGCAATTATGCATACTTTTTTGTTATAATAATAAATATGTGTAACATGTAACAAGGAAACCTTAAAATAAAGTGTTACCCAAATTTCTATTTGAATGTAAATAAATAAACAAATAAATAAATAAAAAAATTGCAAAAATGGTCTGATAAGGAATCAAATGTTAAAAATGTTGACTATTTAATTCAGTGGTCAACTGTAATTACTTCAGGAAGGTCATGTCGGACACATTGCTTTTTGGGATACAGTATTCTGTGCTTGTGCTAGCTGTAAACAAATCTAGTAGGTTAATAATTTCATCCATTCAGAAAATTCACAATAGGTTATTGTAGATAAACTTTTGTGGACATGAGCAAAATAAAATATTAAATATATAAAATTATAAAATTATAAAATAAAACAAATTAAATTTTTTTCTGAAGTATTCACTGTTAGAAATAAATTCAATTTATAATGTTAACTTTAAAATTAATTTAAACCAGTGTTCTTTTATTATCAATGAGATGCTATGCTATTATAGTTTCTGAATTATTATTTTTTTATTTTCTGTTTTCATTTTAATTTGAGCATTTTAGTAGGTTTGTTGTGTTTTTGTCGTTTTTATAATTTTTTTTTTATTATTTAGTACATCAAGTTAAACTAAAAGAAACTGAGAAATGTTCCCTTGGCAAGTAGCTAAAATAAAATTTTATTTAAGTTTAATTTTAAGTTTTTTTCATTTAAAGTACTTTTTAAAGGATTTTAGTTTTAGTTAACCCGCTCACTTCAAAAGCGGACACTGCAAAAAATATCATTTAAGAGACATCAAGCCTATTTCAAGCAAACTGAAATGATTTCTAAACTGAATGAATATGCTTTGCTTTATGGATAAAATATGATTTTTCTGAAAAATATTGTCAGAAGAAAATATTTATCATCGGTGGACATAAAACGTAACCTAAATTTGTAGAATGACTCATACATTCCATAGTATATATACAGGCCTATCATATACTGCAGAAATAATACAAGTAGTATGATATCAGTATGCATAGCCCAAGTCTAGACTTAATTGATTGTGTTGTTCCAGCATCAAGCAGCATGAGCGGTACAGTCAGCTGATTCTGACCTCGCCCTCTGCTGCTGATACGGGGGAGTACAGCTGCTGGGTGGTGCTCTGTGACGGAGAAGAATGTACAAAGGATGGAGAAAGCACCTCTGCTACCTACATATACTTCACAGGTACAGCATCTGCTCACATATCATCTATGTGATCTTGAAACTCTAAAGACATTGTTACAATTCTCTTTGTATCTAGACAAAGACGAGCTGTTTGTCCCCTCTGCCATCCATTTTGAGATCATCTACCTGCGCCCTGACAAGCCTGCCACTGTCCCGTGCCGGGTGACAAACCCCAAAATCAACGTCTCGCTGCATAGGGAAGTTCCTGCAGAAGAAATTGCTGTGGATGGGATCCAGGTCTCTTACAACCCCATGAAAGGCTTCATCATCCAAAACCCCAGTCCAGAACACAAGGGCGCTTATTACTGCAAGGCCAACAGCACCACGAAAACCACTCCACAAATATCCACTAAATACCAGCTGCTGTATGTGGAAGGTAAGAGGACAGCATAGTAGTGCTGCTAATAACACATTTTACATAGTGTTTTTGGCAAAGATGCATTTTAGTTTTGCCATTTTCCCCCTCGTAGTGCCTAGTGGCCCACCTTTGGTGACTATTGAGGCTTCTTCGAACATAGCGAGTGGTGGAGACATCTTCAATGTTACATGCACAGTTCTAGGTGAACCTGAGATGAATGTCAGCTTCAGCTGGAGCTATCCTGGCCAGGTGAGTGCTACATTATTATTATTTTTTTCTTTTAGAAAAGGTGATTTGGCCAAGATTTGCTCATCTGAGCGTCCGATTCAGGATGATTGGGTCAATAATATTTGAGTTTTTCAGTATTATGCTATTTTGTGGATGCTACAGCTTTGCTCGTAACAATTCTAAAGAGATACACTATTGATCAAAAGTTTAGAGCAATTATGATTTTCAATGTTTTTGAAAGACGTCTCTTATGCTCGCCAAGGCTGCATTTATTTGAACGAAAATACATTAAGAACAGTAATACCGTGAAATATTATTACAATGCTAAAGATCTTTATAATTTTGAAGGATCTTGTGATGCTGAAAATTCAGTTTTGCCATCACAGGAATAACTTACATTTAAAATATATTCAAACAGACAGTTGTTTTAAATTGTAACAATTCACAATATTACTATTTTTACTGCATTTTTGATCAAATGCTGCCTGCCTTAGCATAAGAGGCTTCTTTCAAAAACATAAAAAATGTCAATTATTCCAAATGTTTGGCAGGTAATGTAGATTCAGATAAATAGGTGTTAATGTGATGTGTGTGTTTCTCAGGGTCAGAGGCCGGTGAGCATTCATGACTCCTGGCGACTGATAAACCGCGGTGTGGGACACACAACACGCATCTCCCAGAGCGTCATGATAGTGGATGATGTTGAAACGATTGACTATGGAAAGTACATCTGCACCACCAAAAATAAGCATGGACAGACATTGGTGGCCACAACGGTAAAGTCACATGAATAAGAACACAAAGATTATATTATTGAGCTGAGCTGGACTCCATTCAAACTTCAGGCTTCTTGCTGCTTAATAATATCATTATGAAAAACATGCATTCTATATATGACTTGGAAATAAAGTGCTTCTTTTAAACTCAATGATGGAGCAAGTTAATGCAAGCTTCATGTTCAATGGTAAATCAACAGCACACTTAATACAGTTTGTGATGCACCATTGTCTGTGAAATAGTGTTTTTCAATCATGCTAACCTATACTACTCAGAATGGTAGGTGTTAGGTTCTATACGCATGAAATATGTCTGAGGAGCATGAAGGCTTTGTGCTCCGCTCTAATGGACTCCGTATGTGGAATGTGCAGCAGGAGCCCAGTGCTAATTTTGGTTCAGTGCGACACATTCAAAGTATGTTTCTCCTCCTCCCACAGAGATTTCTGTTATTGAATTATTAGCAATTTAAGAATAAGTTACAGTAGAATTCACTACACAAAAAACAGAACAGATCAGAGTCAAACTACAAGCCAATTGATGCATAGACTTAGACTTCCAGCCTGAACATGATGAAAAGAAATAAGAAAACCAACAGATACAACAGGTTCTTGCACACATTCACTGCTTGCTCCCAAAAATGGGAATTGTCTTCATTTACTCACCCTCATGTTGTTCCAAACTGGTATGACTTTTTTGTTTTGTGAAACATAAAATATTTTAAAGATTATTGGTAACCAGACAGTTTCGGTTGCATTATATGGGAAAAAAAATATAATCGAGGTCGATAGGAACTGAAACTGTTACTAACATTCTTTGTGTTCTACAGAATTCCATACGGGTTTGGAATGACATGAGTGTGAGACAAAATTGTTGATGACTGATTTTATTTTTAGGTGGACTATCACTTCAATTACAAGTTATAAACATGGGGTTACAATTACAAACAGATTAATTTAATTCTTTATTGATTGCATATTTCCGTGAGTTTCAGTTTCACACCAACATCCACACAAACAGCCTATCAATACATACCAACATAAAGAAAAAAACGACTTCTTTTGCCATTTAACTTCTTTGTAAATAGCTTGAATGTAAAGCTGCAGTGGAGGGTTTCAGACAGAGGGGGAGCTCCTGAGGCCACGAAACATGCTCGTCATTACACTGGTCTCATGATCAGACATAAATATAGAAACAAGGACAAACAAATCTGTCCCTCAAATCTGTCCCTAGGGCTCAATCATACTGAATAATATACAAAACCCGTATTCAAGAAAGTCATACAAAATTTCAGATTCCCAGTAGTGTATGCCTTCAGTCACAGGGCTGCCCAATGACATGCCATTTCCATATCAAGCACATTATACCATTGAATCTCTGATTGCCAAGAAATGAGGAAAAGGGATAATTAAACCCTTAAACAGGCATTAATCAAAGCATTCAAGACTTTTAATCAACCATTAAGAATTAATTCTGCATCAATCACTGTATTGCATCTCTCCTATGCATATGAGAGTAATATGGAGAGCGTATCTGTGATGAAACATGCATCATGATCTGGGTAAAGCTCACCTTTTTGCAGTTCGTAATGTGTGATTTAAAAAAAAATAAAGGCATGATATAAACGAAAAAAATGTTGCATAAGGTTTTGAGAACACATGGTTGAGATCAGTGAATATTTCCATTTGAGTAAATAGTAACAGTCAGTTTATGGCATGAGTTGATCTATGAAGTGCCTCTTTAGAAAAGTTAATCTGGGGTCTGAGGTCTTGCATAAAATAAAGGGAAACCAAACGCTACACGAGCAGCAGCATCTGGGAAATGTCCACGGACCAGCTGGCATTTGGGCATTCGTCCCAGAGCAAAGATAGATCTGGGTATATACAGGTACACTTAAAGGCGTCTGGTGGAAAAGTTGATAAAGGCCCCAGTCGTGGATTCTAATGTCAGTCCTCTAAAAAAAAGAAAAAAGAAAAAAAGTCAGGAACTTCAGGAAACAAAGCAATCCAGGAGGGGAAAAAAAACCATACATTTGAGAGAAACCTTCTACAAGCCCTGAGATATTTCTTTTTTCCTCCATAGTCTGACGTGAAAGGCAAAGTACGAGGGTGACCTCATTGGTAAGTGCTTCTGTGCAATATAGTCTTCAGTTTTAAAAAAAAATCTATACAAGAGTCAACAAAGTCAATTCCATATTGAGAGCCATTGACATGGTCCAGACCAGCTTCAGCATGCAGGAAGTGCTCCGTCCTGTATGAAAGTGCTTCCTGGAAGCTGAAGGCCATTGTTATCTGGGCGAGACGGGAGGGCTGGAGAACACTGCAGAGTTCCGCGGTGACTGGAGATTCAGGGATGGGGAAGGGGAGACCTTGCGGGAGCTGCTCAGATCACCGTTGTGAAGCTTCCAGAGCAGCTCTTCATTCTCCATAGACAGGCGTTTGTTCACTTTGGACTCCTTCTGGAGGGTTTCCTGCAAAACCGCCTGCTCTGTGGACAGCTGTCTGCAACGGAACAAGGCAGCTCTGATAAACTTGATTAGAGTAGTCACTATTACTGCATAAGATGAAAGAGCAGAAGGTCTCTCAGCACAAAGCTTTGCTGCAATGAAAACACACCATTCTTACCGCGAAAAGAGCACAAACAGTAATCAAAGCAATTAAAGTGTCAAAGCGTAGCCAGAAGCAATTTTGTAGAATTTCCTATACCACTTGCAAATACTGTAAAACTTCAAAGACTTTGGTTTGCTAGAGTTCTAACTGAATGAAGCCCACTGGGAAAGCACCCAAATGTTAGAAGCTAGACAGGCGGACTGAGTAAAATAAGTTCTAAAAACCCAAGGGTATCACGTTTATAAACACAAGATTGTGGTATGCTACCTTGATAAAGCAGCATGTTTGTCCATTCTGGCTTTAAGGTCCTCGTTTTCCTGTTGCAGTTTCTTAAGACATTCATCCAGCTTCACATTCCTCTCCATCTAAAAATAAATCAAATCTTAGTGTTTCTCCAGCACATATATTGTAGGAGCGTCAGATTTGTTCATCTCTTTACTGTGATTAGAATGTAGATGCTTTATGCACAACAGATAATTGAGCTCACCAGTTTGTCTATCTGCATGAGTTTCTTGTCCTGTTCATGGATCTGTTTGTTTTTGATGTCCAGCACTGCTTTAAGGCTTTCAAGCTCCTGCTCCAGATAAAGAGTATGGGAGTCCTTAAACATAAGAAAATAAGCAAGAGAGATCAGCAATATA